TATCTGTTTTTTCTTTTTTTTTTCTTTGGAATTTGCGCTTGTGAGAGCTGATGTGGCTGTACAAGCAATGTTGTAAACCTTTATGCACACCAAAAAATAAAGAATTAAAAAAAAAAAAAAAAAAAAGGGATAGCTTATGTTATCTCAATAACAGGGTTTTAGGTCAGTTGAGTTCTTCATTATCTTGTTCTATATTTATAACATACAGTAAGTGTTTGTGGAATAAGTGAAGCCCTTTGCAACAGCTTAATAGATGACTATATTTGTATTATTGTCATATACAAGATAAGTAACAGACAAATCAAGCTTTGAAAATATTTTACAATAAATGATAACAGAATAATACAGATCCCATAATTGCCCCAAGGCGGAGAAACACAATGCACAATAAATTGTAAAACTAATCACTCGAGGATTTTAGAGCTAAAACTGCTTAAAAAAACATATAACAATATCTGATGGTGTATACATTTTAAACATACCACCACAAAACAAATTGTGATACTTAGTTAAAGATAGCCTATTTATTTATTTTTGTATGATAAAGTTTTTCTCCTAATTTTTTTCATATATTTAATTTCATTTAGAAAATATTTTATCATAGGACTCTTCGGTCTAAAGGCATAGAAAGTGCCGTACTCAGAATTAGATTATTTTGCTTGTATAACATTTGCCCACACTTTCTATATAATGACTGCTGACTGACATCAACCAATTAACACTCTGATAGTTACAGATGTTCATTAACAAAATATATGTATATATATATTTACACAATATTAACCTGAAAATCTCGCATTGTACATAAGAAAAATAATGACAAAATTAGGAGACTAATTTTATTATGCTATAAAACAAAAACATGACATATAATTTAAAGTTATACAATGGGAAGTGAAATTTATGTTTTCTTAAGAGTGTATTTTGAGAGAATAGGCCTGCTTGAGATTGATCTCTCATTAATTATAAAACTAATCAATCAAGGATTTTAGAGCTAAGACTACTTAAAAGATTTTCAGTATAATGCACGGTAAATTTTAATGACTTGTCCAAGGTTTCAAATAGTCAACATAAAAAGTCATATCATGGTTCCCTGATTCATAGTCCTCAAGGTCTGTACATTTACTCAATTAGACATCTCTTATAGCAAACAATCTAAGTATGAAATTTTAAAATTTCATGTTTTTGTAAAATTCATGATGACCAGATATTAGATTATGGAAATACATATGGATCTAGGAAACATGTTACCCTTTTGACTAAGAATCAGAAAAAGTATACATTATTTCTTGGGGATGTGAAAAGACCTTCGATGTAAGGTTTTATTTAAGTTCATAACTGGAACCTTGTCTTTAATTTGAAGAAGAATTATATGTAACTTCTAAAGTAAAGGAAACTTTGCACCAATATCTCAAATTATACTGAAAACCATCTGGAGTGGTAAAGGAGACTTTAGATTTAGGTCATGTTTACTGCTACAGTAAGATAAATTTACATCACTCTTACTTCTGTGGTCTCAGCTTAATAACATACTCATAACAACTTTTTACAGCAGTGTATTCAGTATCTTTGTTACTGTTACTACTAAATGTACTGTATTCTATCGGATTAGATACATTTTCCATGAGATCAAAATATTCTAGCTGGTGCTAGCTGTATTAGACTTGAAGAAAGTAAATTTCACCTATAGCAGAGGAAATAGTTCTTCATTGTCAGAAGAATAAGGATGTGGCATGTTTTACCTACAGAAAGAAGTTGTGTTATCAGATCCTGTAAAATATTTTTTTATTTTTTTTAAAAAAAGGTCTGGATGATTTTGATTTATTTAAAAAAAATCAGCAGAAGATTACAGGGTACAATAATTAATGCACGTGGTAATAGTGTGTTTCTCTAAGGAGATAGCTGATTTCTATTTTGAAATCAAGATTTGTTTTCCTGTTTGTGGCACAATTGGAAATGGTTATTTGCCTTATTTTGGTCGATGTGTTTAGAGTTGAACTTGACAGGCTTAACACTTTTTTTCAACCTAGATTTTTATGTTACTATATTAATGTATAGTATGATAGACAGCATAATGAGCCATTAATTATTTTTGTCTCAACTTATAGAGGACAAAATTTTGATATTTTAAAGCAGTGGACCAACCTTTTTCACTTAAATGCCCCTTTGGTAGCCCTTTTTTATAAATTGTACCCTTAGATTGGCGACATGTTTGTACTTATTATAGTTCTATTATGTTTTTCTCTGCCCTATCTCCCCTTTTTCTCTGCCTTCGAATCTCCATGCTTCTCCACTGCCCTAGGCTCTCCCAGCTATTCCTCAGCCACAGGCTCACCCTGCTTCTCTTCTATCCCAAGTATATATATATATATATATATATATATATATATACACACTAATAGACATGCAGATACACACTCACAGATACACAGACTGACGCACATGCAGATACACACATACAAATACTGACACACATATAGATACATATACACAGATACAAACACTGACAGACATGCAGATACACAGACACACAGATACAAACGCAGACAAAATCAGACACACAGATACAAAAACAGACAAAATCAGACACACAGATACAAA